GAAAACAATCCAATACTTGATAAGATTCCCTGTGGAATTTAAGGAAAGCATGGAGCCATAACCCATGGTTATTAAGTGGTTCAAAAGAGAAATGTGAATTATTTTTTATCATTTTATAGTAATTTTTCTAATTACATATAAAGACAATTGTTAACATTAATGTTTTATAAAACTTATGAATTCCAAATTTTCTCCCTCCCCTACCCCCTCTCTAAGACAATAAGCAATTTGATCTAGGTTGTATATGTGCAATCATGTAAAATATTTGCGTATTAGTCATGTTGTGAAAGAAGAAACAGAACAAAAGGAAAAAACCATGAAAGAAATAAAGAAAGTGAAACTAGTATGCTTCAATCTGTATTCAGACTCCATCAGTTCTTTGTCTGGATATGGATAACATTTTCCATCATTGGTCTGGGAATTTTCTTAGATCATTGTTTTGCTGAGATGAGCTAAGTCAGTCATAGTTGATCATTGCACAGTGTTGCTTGTTACTGTGTACAATGTTCTTCTGGTTCTGCTCACTTCACTTTGCATCAGTTTGTGTAAGTCTTTCCAGGTTTGAGAAATGTAACTTATATAAGCAGAATTTATGTCTTGCATAGCAAAAATAATGGGCAAAATAGAACTTGAATTTGTAATGGTGAACCTTACCAAAGAAACAAAAGAGATTGAAAATGCTTATACATAGAATTGAAGGACAATCTAGAAGAAGAGAAGCAAAAAACAAACATTAAAAGAAATATACTCGCTATGCAAGCAAAATATATAGATCTTGAAGACAGAATGCTCAGAGACAACCTAAGGACCATAAGTGTCTCAGAAGAATACATCAGTACAAAAAACCACAATACCATAATGAAGGAAATAATAGAACTGCTCAGAAATTCTGATCATACAAAATGGAATTCCAGTGGGTTTCTAATAGAAAGAATTCACAGATCACCTCCAGAAAAAAACCCAAGGCTGCAAACTCCAAGAAATGTAGTGGTTAAAAAGAAAGAGATTATTTGCTTTTCAGACACTTCAAACAAAGGAAATGTAGCAGGAGTGAATAAATTCAGCAACCAAGGACAGTGAAAGCAGAGGGACCAGTAAGAAACTTCTTCCTAAATGTACACAAAGAGACAAGGGTGAAGGTAGAGATCTGGTAGAGGTAACAGTAAAGAGACAGGCCTAGGGCATTATGGACAGAACCTAGCAACACCCTGCCTACAGATGAATCAGTGTGTTTTTTTTTGTTTTGTTTTGGGTTTTTTTTGGTAGGACTACATTACAACAGTACATGAGAGGGGAGGAGGGGGATAGAGAGAAATGTGTGATGTGCTAGGATCAAATCATGGAACAACAGTAGGAGAAGGTGATCCCTGTGGTCTCAGAAAGAGAAGTACCTACAGGGGAGTGGGTGAAGAGGAGGAATGTAGAAGGATTGAAAAGGGGGAGAAAGGAAGGAGACTTTGTTATGGTGGTAGGAGGGGGTTTCACTGTTGAATAGCCTCTATGGGTGAAGGGAGATGGGAACCTTTTACTGAGTATGGCCTGGGAGATTTGGCACTTGAAAAGTCTACTCACCTTGCCTCAGGAGAAAGGGAATCAGAACTCCTGAGGGCAACTGGCACTTCCGGGAATCGGAGAACATGGCCTTAGGGAGGAGATTTTTAGAATTTCTTGAACTATAGTTAATAAAACTGATATTCTCCCCACACCCACCCATCCACCCATCCACCCTAATGTGATGCCCAAAATGTCTTTGGTCTACTCCAACAAAATGCCAACTTCATACTCAGTTTATCTTTTTTTAGACCTTGTGTTGCCTCTTAGGGGTATTTTATTTGTTCTCAGTTTGACCAGTTCATGCAAAAGGGAAACTTTACTCAGACTGATTCATACTGATAAGTGGCACATTCATTCTTCCTATGAACCCCTAATTATATAATTTTAGAGTTGTTTGCCTTCTACAGTAGCAACATCCCATATTGTATAATAAATGACCCCAATTACTCCTCCCACATCTTGACTTAACATAACTTTTGTGGTTTCTGTTCCGTTATTGATTCTCCTTTCTGGGACTTAGACTCTTAAATGAGTGCTTGCTGAATATTTCTAAATTTCAGGATTTTACTTAATGTAAGGGTTGATTAAACCCCTAGGGTAAAAATGTTGGGTTTTCCCAAACATAAAGTTTTTGACCTTCTTAAAAGCTTCTTTAGGGCAAAGTCTGATTCATTTTTTGTATTTGCATCCATCCTTGTACCTAGTATACATTTAATGTTTGGTGAATTTAATTAGTGGCAGTCCTGTGGTTTTTAACGGTCTTTGACTGGGGCTTTATCCAGATCCTAAGGAGGAGGACATAGGGAAAGACCCCTGTCTCTTTTGGTAGTAGGAAATGCTACGATGATATTTCACTGGGAGGTGATGGCAGAGGCAATATGGCTTTAGATTTGGACTATGGAAAACCTGGGTGCCATCTCTAGTCATCTTGATCTATATCTTACCACTGGACCAGATGGCTTTGGAGAAGAAAGTGAGCTGGTGACTTTGAACTGCCATCATTTAAATCCAATTCACTTGGCAAGTCATGGCATCATCTTCCTGATGTTATGATCCTCTTTGAGAACAAAGGATAAATAAATACCTGTGAGTAGTCTGAGCTGCCCATTAAGGACTCAACTAGCCAGTTCCAGTTGAACACTATAGCTCCTTCCTTCTTCCCTTCCCTCCCCTCCCCTCCCCTCCTCTCCCCTCCCTCTATCTACACAGGGTATCATACCCTTACCTGCAAGTGCTCTGCCCAGAGGAATGTAAATTTTGATTGCTGAAACCTAGCAAGATATCTTGGGGTTTACTGGCTGAATTTCTTTCTTATTTCCCTGCCTTAAACCCAATTCACTCTGGCTCCCATTGATTGGCCAACAATACCAGGCCAAGCCTCACTTAGTGGTCATTGTTTTGGCCCTGATGGCTCAGAGTGAATGTAAATAGTAATTGTTTCTGTTTTGGCCAGAAACCCAAAGAGTTTTCCCCTCTCACATTGAGGGATTTTTTTTTGTTTGTTTTTGTTTTCATTTTAAGGTAAAAGAGGCCATTCTTTGGCTCATTTCTTACCTAGCCTTAATCACAAATAGGTTTTGCCTTAGTCAAAATGAGAACTCTGAAAAACCTTAGATTAAAAAGGCCAAGGTCTCCTATTGCATCAGGACTATCTCCAGTCCTCCTGATCTCTATCTTGCCACTGGACCCAGATGGCTTTGGAGAGAAAGTGAGGCTGGTAACCTTGCACAGCCCTCCCTCCCTTAAATCCAATTCACTGCGGGTTATGGCATCACCTTCCTGAGATCATGGTCTTCAAGAATGAAGGACAAACAACAGCAACAATGGAAAACCTATAAAAGAGGCATAGTTACCTCCCAGTGTTTTAAGTCTTAAGTAAGATAACACTTATACTTGCTTTAAGGTACTATATAAAATCTGATTATTAGTAACATTATTTTTTCAGGAATTTTTTTTAATGGACATGACTCACCTAAGTGTTTAGCATCCTTATCCTGGCACCTTTCCCACTTTTGCTGAAAAAGACCAGAGTTCAAAAACATGAGCTTGAGTCCACAATAGAAGCAGATACTGACTTCATTGCTTCCTTTTCAAATGACATTGTGCCCTTACATATGATTTTAGGGCTAGAACAGGACTCTCTGAAGGAGTAACAAAATTGTTCTGTGGGGAATGATACTCTGCTAAGCTAGACTTGGTGTAAGGTATTTTCCTGACTACTAAGATTGTTACCAGAAAGTTAAATGAATCTGAATTATCTAAGTAATAAGTGACTCACTGTCTCTGTCTGTTTCCGTCTTTGTCTCTGTCTGTCTGTCTGTCTCTCTCTCTGTCTCTTTCTCACTGTTTTTTAAACTGGGCCACTCTATGGAAGTTGCTCTTAGTGTAGGTGCCCAACAGCTCAATTGCAGCTCAGAACTCCTGAGCTCAAAGGATCCATCACTCTTAGCCTCAGCCTCCCCAGAAGCAGGAAGTATAGGCTTATGCGACCATACTTGACTATATCTCACCCTCAAGCAATCATTTTTTTTAAATTATTTTCTCAGTTTTTATAAGACACAAAGAAAGTATAGGTGAGGATGGCCTAATGAATAGGGAACTGTCCTAGGAGTCAGTGACCCTATGACTATATGACTTTGTGAAAGTCACTTAATGCCTCAGTGCCCCAGTTAATTCTCTGTCTGGGTTAGAAAGGAGTTTCCTTATCAGGAGTTAGTTGATGAAATCATAGGTCCCTACAAAAACAAATAATGAAATGCTGCATAAGCTATGTTGAATTTTATAAACTCAGACATTTTCCCTGGAGGTCCCTTTCATAGACCAATAGACTTCTTGGTGCTCAGGCTCATTTTGTATATGCAGATGCTACTGTAGCAAATGGCAGTCTACTTTTCCAAGCTATTATGAGTCAAAATTAAATGTAGAGCTGTAGAGATGATATGAAAAGGAGGAGTGCTGGGGGACTTCAGGCAAGAGGTGCCCAGGGGTATAGTTGAAGCAGGTAACCATTGTAGGTATAATGCACACAGAACTGGACAGTACTCCAGATATTACCTGAGCAAGGCAAAACAGCTGGACTGGAAAGGTAGGTGAAGTTGTGAATAGAGTACTGATCCTGGGGTCAGGAATACCTGAGTTCAAATCTGGTTTACTTCACTGAACTGCCAGAGGAGTTATCACACATAAGCGC